GCGTGCACCTAGGAAGCGGCGCCCCAAAACCGCAAAAGACATGAAGCATCTATTCAGTCAAGGATCCGAGAGCAGGACCTGCATCCAACAGCCGAATTGGCAAATGAGCTGGAAGAGCGCTCAAAACAATGCACCAACTTTATCATGTTTAGGATTGTCGTGGCCTCGCAGCGGAGGTTGGGAGCCATGGTGCTACGCCAGCACCGTCGAGTGCCACGGCCAATCGGATTCACACGCAAGTCCAGTTGGGCCAGTGGCCGGCCATTGTCGAGATTGGCGACCTGAAGGACAGTCTCTGCCTGCAGGGAGCCTGGTTTTCAATCCATCACTTCATCGAGACGGCGGCAAGTCTCCAAAAAGCGGCCAGATCCAGAAGGCAGTCCTTTCTGCTAAACAGCGGTGCATTTCGAAGAAGCGTCTCGATGCCACTGCGCACGGACAGGGCTTGTTTCACGTGGATTTGCCAGCTTTTAGACCAGCCGTCCTGGAGGCGGAGCACTCTCAGCTGGTGCGAGCCCGAGCCTGTGCAAGGTTCTGCATGCTGCAGATCACATTCATCTCGTATGTCACCCATTACACATTCCTCTGCGGCTAAAGGGCCCAGAATCTTTGCCAGCTCCTTTGCTCCAGCCACTCCAAAAGCATTCCCAGACAAATCCAGCTCTCCTCCAAGAAAAGAAGAAAGCAAGGCCAACCTCAACCTGTTGCAATCGGTCCTAGCCCCAGGCTGCAATCGCCGCAGAATACATCAGCCAGCTTGCCTGTACCCACAACCGAAACCGCGAAGCTGCAGCGATCTCTTAGCAAGCCGAGGTGCCCAGCTTTCTGGAGGTGAACCTCAGCCATGTCGCAGGCCCTGACTGTCAGCACGTCATCCTCGCACTCGCACTTCTTCAGCCAAAGCCACATGTTCTGCCGCAGGGACAGAAACTCCAGCTGGCCGGAATGGTCCTTCAGACCAGCTGATAACTCGGCCAGTCCAGAGTCCAGCAGACCACACCGATCCTGACAGGCACAGGCACGGCTTGCGAGCAAGATTGCAGGAGCTGCCCAAATTTCTTTCAGGCGTCCAATTGCATGTCAATCAGCGACGTGTTCTGTGCCAGGACGTTCCGCAACATCTTGGAGCCGGCGGGCCCCAAGTGGACGCCCGTCAACTGCAACGCTTGGATCTCCTCAGCGACGTACTGCGACGGAAAGCTGCAGAAGAAAGGCGCCTGTGCTTTTTTGGTGCAGGCGCCTTGTGGCCGCGCAAGCCTTTGCAAAGCCATTCCAGGGGGCCCGATCCAAGGTCCACGTCCTCGATGCGAAGAATTCGCAAACCAGGGCTTCGTTGTACCAGAAACTCCCACCTTCAGTGGGGCAGCGGAGATCTACACAGCGCACTCTGTAGACTTCAAGTCTTGGGGCCCAGCGTCCACAAGGCGTGGTTAAGGAGGTATGGTGCATCTTTGGCAGCCTCGGGCGGCGTCGGCAGTCGCAACTGCGGTCTGCCGTCGACCTCCTGCGGCATTCATACTGCACAGTACGGCACTAGACTGAGCCATGTCTGGGAGTCCTCCAATGTGCTGTGAACTTCCCGTGCTACCGGCTGCGCCACAGCAAACTCTTTAGCCTCATCGTTGTAGGAGTCCTGAACTCCGAACATTGCCGATGGAGAGGCTGGATAAGGCGCTGGACTACTGAAGCAACAACAAGACTCTCGCACCAGTGTGCAACCCATCTTTGGATGTTGCAACTCGTGTAATTCAAAGGGCAGTCATCATCAATTGCCAGACGCTTTCCTGTTTGTAGGGGGGTTTGTCGATCATTCATCATCAGCTGCAGGCCAGCTACTTGCAACCCTGGCCCAACCCCGGAGTTCTTATCTCTCAGATTTGTCCGTATGAAGGGGTGCCATGGGTGCATCACCGCCCGGCCGCGGTATCCGGCGGTGTCTGTGGAACATTCACTTTTTCAGGGCACGTGTCGGAGCGATGTTGTCTCAACGTGCTGCCGTGTCTGTGCAGCCCACCGCGTACTAATGACACTAACGTAACAGATCCCCCCCTTTATCCCCCAGCGCCGGCATGCCCCTATGCGTGTAAGCATCCCAGAGACTTTGGTGGGCTTGATGGGTCTGACCTTCAGCTCTCCACCACGTTTGGGGTCGGGGGCCGTTAGAGAGCAAGCTCCAGCACAATTATGCAAGTGACGCTAGAGCTCCGCCCGTGCCGGGGCTGCTAAAGCTTCTGTGTGTGGGGAGATGTGCCGACTGGTCTCTGCGTTTTAGTAGATGGTTAGTCAGTTTCAGTCGCAGCACCCTTTAGTTCCCCGAAGGGGCACGGCATCGTCTGCAAAGGTCGTGAAAACTGACTGATGGCTCATAGGGTCTTTGCTGGCTGCTGAGACGAGAGTGCACTGATGCGTTGAGTGCCTCGTGCTGCCTACTGTAGTGACGCACGCCACGAGCACTCTGGCAGCAGCTGCATGGAGGTACAAGATGCGTGCATCTGAATCCTAGCAGAGCCGCTGTGTTCAGGTACCCGCGAAGATGCAGCGCCCGACGTTGGCCCAATTGCAAGCGCTGCTCTTGGGCATCCAGCTCCTGGAAAACGCGAAACCAGTAGCAGTCTTGCTTCGCTCGGTGCACTGCCACAAACTGTCGCATCCGTCCAATCCATGGTCCATGCTGAACGGCATCCTTCGTAACACTTCACATTACTGTCTGTCCCATGCGTCCCAATCTACAGCGAGCAAACTCGAAGCGTTGACCGCATGTAGACGAGTCTGCTTCTGTGGCATTTTAGAAAGCTCGTCCTTGTGTCGGGCGTAGAACATGTTTTCGGCAACCTTGCCTGGCGGGCCCGTTCAGAGAACTCGCACATGCAGCCAGAGCAGGTTGAGACGGCTTGAACCAACGGAAAAGTGCGACATGTTGTTTGATGCAAGCCACTGGCCAGCTCGTGCATCTCGTTCCGCTTTCTGGAAATGGCTCTGTCTCCGGGTTCCCGAAGCAGCGCCTGTCGAAGAGTACTGCAGCTGAAAATGAGCACTTGGAACATCTTGGAACTGCTGGGACCTCCTCCAGATCCAGCAAGGCATTGCGCGGGTCTCGCATTTGCTCAAAGGCGGCGGCCCTGCGAAACCAAGCCTGCCCCATGAATTGTGCACCACGTTTGGGGGGGGAGGGGGGCAAAACATGACAAGCCGGGCTGGGCGAGTCGGCGAGGCCTTCGCAGAGCGGCCCTGGCTGAGCCGAAGCGCCTCATTGGCCGCCCTGGTGATCGTTTCACAGGGATGCTGGGCCCGGCCGAAACCCTCCCCACCAGCCTGAATGCAATGACCAAGTTATCCTTTACCTCCACAAGCATCTGCTCAGCCTGACTGCGGCCACCAGTCCGCATCGTCCAGGTTTGCCATGCCATCGAGTCTTTCACCGGCATGATGCCACTAACAGAGACCAAGAATCCGAAGCACGAGCAACTGGACGCTCAGGCCCCTCAAACTCCTCCCACATGGCACACAGTTGCATGGCCGCGAAGCACGCGTCTGATTCCGGCTTTCTTCTGCAGTTCAGAATGTTTTCGCAAGCAAACTCTAACCGCCTCTCCTCATTGGAGTGCTTCTCTTCCTTTCGAGCCACGTCCTTGCAAGCAGGTTGTGGCAATAAATGCAGCAAGCTGCAGGGTCCGTGAACTCTCCTGGCTGTAAGCAAGCAGGCTGCTGGCACACAGATTCAGTAGAATGGAAAGCTGCAAGTTGGTGGCCTTGTTGACAGAGCATGGTCCCGTTCAAGGTCACATTGACATCACAACATGTTCGAGTGCAGCACCTGGTAATTTTCCAAGCTTGCCAGCTCTGTGCTCGCGCCCACCTCACCGGCAAAGCTGCGAGATGGGCACCATGGGTCAACTCATCGGCTAGGGCGGCACCTTCTTGTCGCTGCTTGGGTCCGCTCTCTTGGCTTTTCGAATCTCCTCGAGTTGCTTCCTGCGCGCATGGCGACTGCCGCGGGGTGCCACGAAGAACCACTAAGTTGTGAGTGCTTGGCGTTGCGGCGGCCTCCACTCCTCATCCAGGTTCCGCCATGGCTTCGCAGAGCTTCGCAGAAGCACCTGACTGGTCTCAATGCCTTACCAATCACTACAAACATTTGGAGATGCAGACTTGCCTTGCCTGGGCTTTGGAGTAGAAGAGCCCCGAGAGGTCTGCTTTGCCTGCCTTGAACGCTTCGTTCCCCTGCTTCTTGAGACTCTCCACCTCCTTAAAGACATGTGCAACTGTCTTCCTGCTTGCTGACTGACCCATGCACTTCTTTACCACCACACTAGCTCGAACAATCTGATACCGAGGCACATTTCGCGAATCCATATCCAGCCAGCTGTCGCTGGGATCAAACTGTGACATTAAGTGATCCTCGTCTTCCTCCTCTTCTTGAGTGAGGGCATACGAGTACACATCTTCCAGTTCTGTTGCATCCCCGAGATCGCGGCTCGCAGCATAGAGCGGACAAAGAAGTCCAGTGTTTCTGGGAGGCCCGAGAAGCAATGCCTGCTTCACGCTGGAGGACTGCCAGTCCCAGCGGTATTCCTGAATCATGTGCCGCGCGGGCTCCACAAGCCCATCCTTGTTGAAGATCATGCCAGCACCTTTATGAATGCCGAGGATGACCACCCCAGCCCCGCCTAATTGCTCCACCAAGTCTTCGAGGTCAGTCTCCTCCGTCTCGGGCGCCACGATGTGAGGGAAAATTCCCCAGCCCTTGAATGGAATGATCGTTTGCTGTGTTCCAGAACAATACCAACTTTTCTGTCCAAGGAGAGACATGGCTTCCCCGATGGCAAGGACCACGGCACCTGCTGCAGCAGCAGCTGCATGTGCCAACACATGCACCGAAGCAGAAAAAGCACAAGTAGGGGGCTACTGTATGATGGGGCTGGGCAAAAGGGGCACCTTGGAGGTACCGCCACTTCACATGCTCGGCCACCTCGCTTGCCCCAAGGTCTGTGCTAAGAGTGTCCCAGAGCCGACGGCGGTCCCCTCCATCCACGAGGATTAGGTCAGATTGCTCCAGATGCGCCAGCTCGAACCCTTGGAGGTCTCTTCGCAGCACTGACGCGGGCTCAAGCAATGCTCAAAAACCGCCGTAGAGCAGCCTAGAAGCTGTTCGGAGGATGGTGGATGTGCCGACACAAAACGATCCCAATCTCGCCCATTGCCTCTTTGAACAACTCAAAGCCTTCTGTGGCAGAGTCTGTGGCGAATCCTAACAGGCTGGGAAACTTGGTGTAAACATGTTGAATCAATGCTCGCAATATCGCGACCTCGCCTATGTAGCTGGCCCTGACGGGCAAGTCGCCAGCAAGCCGTCCCACGCGGCGAGGAAGTTCACACTTCACGCGATGGATCCATGGAAGCTTGACGTCCGGATCCTGGCAGCACAAGCATGTTGAATTCAAGCCGCACAAAAGTCGACCACATGCCATATGACAGTCTGGCATACTTCGTGCTAGGTTGCCTGGACTGACAGGTTTACAATTGCACAGGAAGTTAGCTCCTGGTGGAAGAGCAGCGAGAAGTCGGCGAGGAAGATTTGAGGGGCTGCAGGCAGTTCCTCCTTCCGCTCCTTTGGTTGCTGTTGAACAAAGAAGTGCCAAGAAGCGACAATTTGATCGAAGAAATCAAAACTAAGCTTGGAGCCTGCTGCTCTAACCACAACTTGTAGTCTTCCCAATCCTTTCATGGCAATGCTAAATATGGAACGGCAGCAAGTCATCGCCCAGGCAGCTGACTGTACCGCACACAACAAGGTCCTCGACCGACGGAGCTGGACATTCCCAGCCCTGTTTCTTCTTGGGCCGCGGTTTGTCCCGCGCCTGGTTGCCGAAAGCGATCTGTTGGCCACACAGCTTCGACCAAACGTGGTCACGACGACCCCTCTTAGGAGCCGCACCAAGCTCCAGCCGGGTTTGCTTCGCTGCTCGTCGCCAGCCATGGCGGCTAAGCGGAGATCTGCAAACCTAAAACATCTTGGTTGGCGTGTTCTCAACCCAGTGCTGAAGTGAGGAGACTGACACTCTGAGCTTCGGGGGGAAACTTGCAAAGATGAGGTAACAGTTAACGCGCAAGTTGCTGATTGTTCTGCTCCGGAGTCGTGGGTTGCCGGAGGCTGTCAGTTGCGACTAAGGATTTCGGGGAAGGCTGAAAATAACCGGTAACCGCATCCCTTGGTTCACCTACGAGATGGCTTCTGAAACGCATTTGCAGATGGAGGGCATCCCGAATTCACAAACTACTCCGGCTCCATCCCGAGACGAGACAGCGAGCCAGAATCACATTGTCCTCAATGCTCATCCAGAAGGTGCCATCGTCACCACCACGGTAGTTCGTGGCTTCCTGTTTATTCCCCGACGGGCCTTATGTCCGATGCTGTAGGTTTTCAGGCCCTCTCCGTGCCTTCATTTCCGGTGTCCACTCACCGAAGGAGTTCCTCTGCAAGACAGCTTCTCCATGCATGTTAGCACTGGTCGAACTGAGTGCAGACCAAGGGCGCATCAGACCATTTGCCCTTCCATTCGCCTTGGCCCCAGGGATTTCGACCTCGGGGCTGGACCGAGCCGGATTGGAACCAACGTTAAGTGCCAAGGCCGGCACAGCAAACCAGTCTGTTGCCAAAAGCTTCCACTACCCGGAGCACGGAGTACACCTGACTCAGAGGCGATGCAGGTGAGCCCACATGAAAGATACCCCAACTGAGCTGTCAGCGTGCCCATGCACGAGACCATCGTTGGTAATGCCCTGGTTGAGGAGTGCAGAATCGAGAAAGAATTTCCTCTGACACTTGGGAGGCCGGGAGCCTGCCTCCCCGCACTTTCCTTGCCCGGCTTTACCTCCTGCTGGGGAACTCATTAACGACACTTGTCACAGCTGTGACTCCAGCCTGCGCTCGCACAAGAAGCAATGGCAACAGCATGGTCAAAAGAAGATAGGAAATATGTCTCCATCTCCAAGCATATGGCCGGGGGCAATGGCTTTAAGCCAGTCCGTGCGCAGCAAGCTCACAGAATTCAGGTTGAACTTGATTGAAGGTTTCAAGTAGCTCAATGCACAGAATGTAGAAACTAGGACAATGAGCCTCACGACGCAGCAGAACAACCAACTGACTTACCTGCAGGACTGTGAAAGGTATGCAGGATAAGATGCCCAGGGTACCGGGTCGGCGCACCAGCATGTCAGTCAGTCTGTAAGATCAAGTAAGATCCCGTGCGCCGGTCCCATGCTCAGAAACCCCCAAACAAGTCATGACACTTCCCGAAAGCCAGACTCGGAGCATTGAATTGTCCTGCAGCCCTCGACTTGGTAAAGGTGGTTGAGAGCACCCAACCGGCTTCATGCCTGATTGCTGCTTGACCAAAGTATCTTCCGCCCTCTGCTTCGTGGACATGTGGCAAAGCCTTCGCCAGAGACTAAGGGCTGCGCGCTTCGTGTAAGGTCTGACAGGGCAGTGCAACTAGCCAACGTCACCATCACAAGGGAACAGGAAGTGCCCAAACCACGACTTGATCACCGGAATGCCCTCACAGTTGCCATGACTAGTGTGACGACCCCAGGCAAAGCCCGAACATGAAGGCTTTATTGCTCTCTCCAGCCGGAAGCTCTGGCAAGCAGTCGAACAGCCTCATAGTAGACACCGGCGGCAAGGGGCTTGTACCTGGTCTTTTCCTTGATCTTGAACCTGAGGGGAAAGATCCGGTGCGGAGCAGGAACGCATGTTATGGATTTGATCACTGAACACTTTTCGCTCCAGGCGGGCTCACTACCAAATGAGCCAAGTTCACTGCACAGACTCTGACCAGCGGATGCATCCCTAAGCCGGATTCTGTACAGGTCTGGCCACGGCAATTCTACTGTAGAAACAATTGACAATTGATTGGGATGGCGATCGCACCACTGGTGGCGAGGCCCATCTGATCTGGCCGACAACGGCATCCACGCAAAGGGTGCAATTCAAGATAACGGTAAGATAACGGTAGACTAAGTTTACGACGTCCTGAGCAACGGCGCACCAGCAAGGAAAGAGGCGCGCACCATCCCTCTAAACTGGCACTTAAATACTTTACACAACCTACAATGTTGATGTCCAACAGGACAGTCCCCTCAGGGCTACACCGGGGACCAGTAAGGTCCTATGCAACTCTGCAAATGCCACGAGGAAAGCACTTGCAAATGAGTTCGGGCTATGTTCCCGATGAAGTTGCGAGCAACATTGCGCTCACGTGGTACGTGAGAAATGCGGGATCCGGAGCGTACTGCCATGTCCCATCCGCATGAGAATAAATTGAAGGCCCCAAGCCACCTGCAAGCCCTTCGAACCTATGTCCCCCTGCTTTGGGCTCTCAACTGGTGCGGTACTCCATACCGTCTTGTAAGGACTGGGAAAAACATCGAAACTCAAGAACTCTGACTCAACAAACTTGGTGCACGGAAGCGCTTCATTTCTTGTCAAGGTCCGTCAAGGTCAACATGCTTTGGGCCATCTTCCCACGGTTCCGGCCAACCTGAGAACAGCGCTGGGCGTGCGTTGGGAGGGCCTGCAGTCGTTGCTTCATGCTTCCATGCTCCACCAAGTCAAAATCTGCAGGAAGCCTTGGACCCTGAATTCCTCCGAGGCCCCAAGAATGCCAAGTCTTCCCCTCCCATGCCGGGGCACTAAGCCGACCCCGTTCTCAGGCGAGCTTTCCTTCGCACAGGGCCAGGTCAAAGGGTTTCTGGACATGCAAGCAGAGTCACTGCAAAGTTCCACGGTGAAGTCAGTGCAGTCAGCTCGTTCTGATCATTGCGTGCTTTGTTCAGTGTATCCTTACCCTTCATCCGAAGAACCGACTTGCTTGTCCCGAGTTTCCTTGTCAATTCGCGTCGGAGATGGGTCGGGCGTGCGCCAGCCGCGGTTCAGGCTTTTCAGCTTGACTGCTGATCGAACATCTGCAAAAGCGACCTCCACAAGACATGGCATGAGTGGCAAGCAAATCTTGCTCCACCCACGGCATAAAGATGAACAAAGCAGAGCGTGCCACATGTGCACTGGCCTGACGCTGCACCTTCCACTCCATTTGTAGCTTGGCCTTTCAGGTGATGCCGGACAGGTGCTGGATGGCCGCATGGCACAACTAGAAAACGCAGACCGCAGAACACTCGCTTGCGCCCAGGCCTTGCTCAAGAGACGCTGCATGCCGGCGCCGCTCGGGGCGGCCTGCCACGTCCACCAAGCACTGCATGCGATGTATGACCTGACTTGGCGCATGGCTTCTGTCCCAAAGCTGCCAAGCCTGGGGTGATGGGCTTGGCGAGTTCGCCACTCGCTCAACAGCCTGCGGCTTCTCGGATGCGCCCCATGTAGGTTTCCTGGCTCGTTTGCCGGATTCTAACACAGAGCTGACTGTGACAGGGGTTATGGCAAAGACGCATGCATACAAGAGGCTCACACGCAATGTGAGGGAATGAAGAGGTCATGCCCAGCCTGTTGAGAGCCTCCAGGAGCAGGTCATGATCTTTGATTGGAAGCTGGAGCTTCTCGGCACTTTGCACAGTGTTGGACAGAACCTCAAGGATTGTCCAGATAAACAAGTTGCAGAAGTAGGAACAACATCTCACTGTCTTGCACATTGTCACGCACCCTTGCCGAGTACTTTCGGTCGCGCTTCGCGTGACGTTATGTCTGAGCTGGTGGCCATGCTGTGATTGTGGATGAAGCTGGCCATGTCTTGCTCAGAGATCACATCGTCACGATCCACATCGAACGCCGCGAACACATCGGCGATATCGTGCTCATGAATCCTGGATGGTTCCAGATGCTCTGCCACCCGGCTGTCTCTTCAGTGATGGAATGTCTCGGCCAAGCAGCTGAATCCGCCCCGCAGCAATCATGGCACCCAAGAACTCGAAGAAGTGTAGCCGCCCATCACCCGTAATATCCAAAGAGGATATGGCTCGAAAGGAATCCCTTGCTGCATGGACATTCAAAAAACGCAATGGTTTGATTCAAGTCTGTTTCATTTCTGGTTTGCTCTTCCGATGGCACAATGCTCTGTCGGAAGACACACTAACTGCGGCAACGGATCACTTCCTTCAGCTCTGCAGGCTTTTGGTAAAGTCCAGTCTTGTTGGCCATTGCCTCCTTCATGGGAATGCCAACAGAGACACGTCATGACGCATTTATCCCACCCTGAGGGCAGAACAACAGTTGTGCAATATTGGCTCAGGTATCTGTCGTCCAACTGCTCCCATGCTTTCAAGTCGCAAACGCCTCGCATGGTCACAAACACCATTTTGCTGAAGTATGGTTGCGCCTCCCCCCCGCCACTGACACTCGATCCTGACGACATGAGTAGCAAGTGGTGCGCTTCATCTCGGGTTCGCTTAACACCGTTTCTCAACCCCAAGACGTCCTCGAAGGCAGACACCAGCTTGCTAACCGAGAGCGAACCCTTGGGTGCCAGGGTTTCCAGGCACTCGAGCTTTGCGAAGTGGTCCTGCTCGAGTGGTTCGCTTGCCGTCCGATCCACTGGCTTGTTCATGTGTGGGATAAGGCCCTTGTCCTTGTACTCTGTCCATGTCTCCGGAGACAAGTAAATGGTCGATGCAAGACTACCTCACAACAGGAGTAAGTATGGGAATTCGTTCGAAGCACCTTCTGAGACAATAGCGTCAGCACTCCTTCCAACATTCTGGTGGCCATGGCACAGCAGATTTGCGCCAGCACTCCACAAGTAGCCATGCGATTTCCAGCGAAGCAAAGATCCTGCGACGATGATCGAAAGGCTTTTGTCTTCCCGATTCCCAGCTCTCTCGATGTCCTTGAGGATTGGTGCGAGGGTCACCGGTGCCACGGGCCCCTTCGGCCCGACTTGGCAGAGCCATGGATGCACCTGGACACCAGCAGCCGTCAGCCTGTCCAGGGGGCCGCCCCGGGCCCGGAAGTGAAAGCGTGATGGGAAGTTCTGAAGAGATCGCAGCAAGGACCGCCTCTTCTGAGGGTCCCGCTCCATACACCGTCGAATCAAGTCCTGACGAGCTCCATGTGCTATGTGCGTTCCGAAGCTGAGCAAGAGATTCGTGGCCTTGCACTGTGGCGAGACGTTTTCCCATCGTGGCCCCACAAAAGCGTCTGCCAGCGGGTCATCGCAGAACTTAAAGTTCGCAATATTCCTCAGCAGATGGAACAAGCGTTCGTGTTAGGAACACCTGTGGCTGGGTTCCGCACTGCTTCACGCACTTCAGTGCCTACATTTCCTTTACGCTTTACCCACCAACCGTCCTTGGAAAGACCGCGCGAGGCCCCGTGCGTAAATGTCGCATATCGAATGCAGGAAGTGTGCGAACTTCCATGGAACGAACCGGATAAAACCTACCAGACACAAGCTGCACAAATCCATGGCCAACATAAACTGACACGCGCCACGTCCGTCCATCGACTGGCCGTTATTGACAAAGGTCCACCCCTATCTGCCATCATCTGTGTGCAGTCATGACATAGAGACGAGTTTGCCACAAGTAGAATGCCGAATTGTTGTTACATGTTTAGAATTTTTCTGTGGTTTTCCGGACTTTGAGCGATATGCCGGGTTACATCTAAGGGATCCTGAAAATGCTGAAAGCCGAGGAAGCTAACCTGAGCTGAAACTGACTGCTGCCGCCTGAGGGAAAAAAAACTCTTCTGCCTCAAAATGAGCATCCAGATCACATCGGCGTGCGACTTGCCGTTGAATGGAGGCATTCCACTGACGAGCATGTACACGAGCACTCCGAGAGCCCAAATGTCTACCTCTTGTCCATACCCATCGCCCTTGCAAATTGCGCCATCCTTCAATCCAATTACTTCCTTGGCTGTTCCACGCTGCACGGGCTGAAAGGCTTCAACGTTGTGTGCACAAAGACTTTGAGTATCCACACTCTGCACCGTTCGATGCCAACAGGCAGCAGGTGCGACGTAGTAGCAAGTTCCGCACATCTGGTTCAGCTTCTGAGTGCGCCCTGGCACTTCGTCGATTGGGTAATGGTCCAAGCGGTTCCATGCATGACATGCGTCAGGACGCAGCGCACCTTTGTCATCCTTGCCGGCGATGTACGCTGTGGCCAAGCCGAAGTCAATAAGCTTAAGCCTTTCCTGTGCCGGCGATGCAAAGACCCAGTTTTCCAACCTCGGCCGACACACCGACGCAGCAAAGCACGTTTAGAGTCGTAGCTGTGTCTGTTCATAACCCCAACCCATTCCATGCGCGTCTTAGCGGCTTGATGTCGCGGTGCACCATGCCCATGCTATGGATGTAGCGTATGGCAGCAGCCATTTGCTTCACCAGCACTGCTATTCTGGCCTGCCACCGCTACTCAGCAAAATGCATGGAGAAAGCTGTGGGCACTCAGCCTCTGTGTCCAGCATGGCAAGCCCTTGCCGCACAACGGATGAAGTTCCGGCCGCCAGCTCGAACAGCTCACCTGCTCTCGTCATAGGCTCGAAGACGCCAAGAAGAGTGAAGCCGGGAATCTGCAGCCGCCTCCTGAGCACAGCTCCATGCAGAGCCAGATGTCGCCGTTCTTTTCCACGAAGGCCTGCGGAGAGCTTGGAAGCAAAGGTCGACGAGAATCTACGACTCTACGACTGCCGATATCTCCCGATGATGCTGGCGATGAAAGCGAAACCGAAGCACAGACTTGGGTAGACCGGCGGAAGATGAGCGGTAGACAGAATGATAACAAAAGATAGTAGACCTAGTCTCTGCAGTGGCACCATGAGAACGTACGTATTGATGCAAAACACATGTGCTTGTGACTCTCAAGCGGGATGACTGCTGGGCTTCCTAAACAGGGAAAGCTTCCCAGAGTTCTGCAAGCTCGCAGCCGGAGGGCCTGAGCTTAACCCGCATGCAGACCCGCGTGCAGTCTTGGGCATGCACTTCGTTTATCAGAAGACAGAAAAGACATGGAAGTGACAAAAGTCGCGGCCAACGCGCATTCCCACTGGCGAACAAATGCCCCTCGTCATCACAGGAAACGTGCCCAGAATCTGGAAGGGATTCGGACGAACTACGGGAAACACTGAGCTGCGTCTGTGCCGAAGGCTTGTGCAGCACTTATCTGTCAAGGAGGACGCAGATGGACCTAGTACTCTCGAGGCCCTTGTTCCGAGATATGCTCCTGTGGGAAGTCAGAGCGGCTTCGGATCACCTATAAGCAAACTTGCAATGCAACGCAAAAGCCAGTGACGTGGCTTCAAGTATGCTTCGAAGACCTGCACCAATGTCTTCCGCCAAGGATGCAACTCCTGGATTCTATTGGTCAGCGAACCACGACTACTGCCGTGCACTGTTGCCCTGGGAACATGCGACAGCAACCATCGACTGCCGGCAAACCTCCGGGACATTTGAGTCTGGCTCGCATCCGAGTCGAGGCAGAGAGAAGGACAGAGTCTGAACCTTTAAACCCAGCGCCTGCGTGACTCGAGTCTGGTTCGGACGTCTGAAGTCAGCCAGTATGTTCTTTCAACATCTCCCTTTAGCCACAAGACCTGTGCGCACCTGCAGCAGTCGGCAGATGTTGGGATGTGAGAGTCGGAGATACAAGCTGACCTTGGCGATCAGCCACACGTATCCAACGCAACTGGGTGACCAATTGCAAACTCTCAGCATTCCCGGCCTCGTCTGGCAACGGCCCTTCTGCACCCTCCAGACACTTTGCAGCCACCCTGCGACCACTCTTGCGATGCTTGGCCACCAAGACAGCGCCATGCATTCCAGTGCCCAACACCTCCTGCGCGCGTCGTGTATCGATGTCGCATACATCTTAAAACTAGGATCCTGAGACCGGAACTACGGCATGTGCTGACAAGGCAAAGCATGCAGAGACCTCGTCGCCGACATCATAAACATCCTAAGTCGCGAGTCAGTACACTGTCAGACTGCTGCCTCGTGGACTCCTAAGCCCAGCGACATAAAAGGAGATGTGCCTCAAGACTTTGCTCTGAAGCGGCAGCGGAAGCTCCAGCTCCTGCTTGCATCCCGAAGTGCGGACTCTTTTTGGGACTGTAGAACTGTGTTCAGACTACTTCTCATCCACCATCGCTCTCGGCAGGATGGCCCAGGGTTCTGCAGGCCCTACTCACACCCTTGAGATTTTCGCAAAGATCGCTTCATCGCGATAATGCGCGAGATTTAGGTATCATGTACGCACTGGCATTCGCGAAGTTGTGCTTCAGAGTACACCCAAGATCACGGAGGCATACCAGTAGAACGAAAGAAGAAACTGAAAGTTTTGGATGTGGAGTTTCGGGCAAGTCTTCGACGCGGCAGCCTCTGCACGAGGCTCCATGGACTCGTCCACCAGGGCCGAGCGTGATCTTTCATTGCTTGCCGCAGCAGCAGCCCCGAAGGAGGTGAAGGTGTTTGCGAGCACCGATCGGACCTTGCAGTCTGTGCGCGGCAAAGGAAAGCCGACATGTAAAAAAAAAAAGGCAGTCGGCGACTCGGCTCAAGCTATGGCATCTGCAAACAGAGCAAAAAGTGCCAAATCTAAGCTGAAACGCACTGGAGCCGATCCCTTCTGTGACATTTTGACAACTCACAGCTCTCAACCACTCCCGGCGCAAAAGGCGTCGCATGCCCCAGAGAACGAGGCATCCCATAACGCCGGACGCCTGAGGAAAGACAAGCAGGAGATTCGTGCGGTCGGGGACATGTGGAGTCGAGATGGGCTCCGAAGGCCGAAGGCCCTGATAGACCGAGGCACGGCAAATCTGCTGGTCCATTGGCGCAGCCGGTTCTCCATCTGCTTTTTGTACATGGCGCCAACTGCTGGCTGAGGTGACTGCGAGCGTCAGAATACGACAAGCTGGTGCTGAGGCCTTTCCCACGGAGCACGGTGCCGGATGCTCTCATATGCGGTAGTTTCGAAAACAACTAAAGTATGGCCTAGAATGAGTTCTGATTTGACATGGTTTTGAGGTCAGCGGCGCTTCTAATTATAATCCTTGCATCTCTTTCAGACTCTGGCTAAAGCCTGCACAGCCCGACGGGATGTCATGTGCGATTCAGCTTTAGATCTCCTTTTCAACAAGGGCAGCCTGAAGCCTTCTCGGAGCCTAACTTGCCCATGGCACCGCCGAAAAGGAGTGAGACGGCCTGGAAACAGTTGCACCAACAGCCGTCTGACGTCGGCAAGAGGTGCGAGGCAGCCTCTCCAGGCAAACCGCCGTCGCACATCTCATAGCATCTATGCATCCTGAGGGGCAGGTCGGCTGTGCGGACTTCTTACGGCACCGACAAAGGCCGCAGCTTGCAGAAACCTTTCTCCAGAAGTGGCACCCACCTCGCCGTGCAACTGTCATCGTTTGTCGAACCAGCCACGATCGCAGTGGAACCGCAGTCTGCCCGCGGCATGCATGCTGCATGGCTGAAGCTACTCCCCAGTCAGCATGTCGAATCCCCATACCTTAGGTTCAAGCACTTCGTCATGGTCGTAGCTCTTGGCATACCTGACGCTGGCAAAAAAACATTCTCGAAGCACATCAAGACTGTCCACAAAACGAATACCTGAGCCTAGCACAGCAGCCGGCCATACTGGTCAACGGGCATCCAGTCCTTGACAGTATGGATATTCCACAATCCGTGAACATGCGATGATGCAGCCGAACAGCAAGACGCAAGACAGTGTTGTAACAACATGCTCTGCGGAATGGTGCAGAAGCATTCTTAAAACAAACCGCAGAAGTTCGCAAAGTCCAAGCACAGACAGATCTGCCGCCACAGGTCATCAATGATCGTGTGATACCACTCCCCGTCCAGGAAGAACCTGCGTCATGGCAGCTTGGTTCCCAAGGCTGCTCGGCGCAGGACAAGCGCCCAAGTGCCGTGTGCACCTGATGCCATACACGCCAACATCTATATCGTGCTCCAGGAAGCAAGACCGCACATTGTCTGGATCTTCACCAACCTCGGCAAGCACGCGGCATCATGCGGCAGTGCTGCCACCTCCGCAAGGCACAATATGGCTGCATCAAAGCGCTGGGTGTCGTGGCCATTGCGCCCAGCGCCTTGGCGTGGTAAGATACGTGATGCTGACTACGTGTTGTTCCGATGCAGTACTGCATGGAGGATGCGGCACTCTGCAAGCACGGGGAGCACTGCAACCACAAGCATTGCCTAATGTTTCTTCCACTTTCACTCGATGGTCTTAGTTGTCGTGTGAACGACAGCGTGCAAGGCACACCGGACAGCTCATCTCCTGCTACATGCTGCTACCTTCACAAGCCAGCGTCCCCGACTGGCAGCATTCTGCACAAGCCCTGCCCGCTGCTTCAGATGATGTCGAGTGCCCCTCGCACGGCAGTGTCGCCTACTCACCCTTGCCAGAAGAGGCGCTGAGCTTGCGTGAGAGACTTTGCAGGAACATGGATTTTTTCATCTGGAAAAGAAATAGCTTCCAAAAGAAGCTATGCTCCGTATGCAATCCCGGCGTCGAGCCGAAGGAATTGCTTCGCTGAGAAAACTGAACACGGCATTGTGAAAATGTCTGGGATTAGCGGGCGGCTATGCCTGAGACGGTGATGCAGCTCGGAAAGCTTTCGCAGAAAATCCCCCCGGCCTACAAGTATGTGCTACACTTATACTGCATCCAATCCGCGCAGCTGCAGAAAATCAGGCACGGATGCCTAGGGCCAAGGATATCAGTTTGTGGAGGCATCTTGCTCATCCACATCAAAGCACGTCCCAGCGCTTTTGACATCGTGTTGCCTGCTTGCTCCTATCGCGTTCAGACACAAGTCTAGCAGGACCGCATGCTGCTAGATACATTGCATGGAAACATCGTACGGAAAATTTTCTGAGCCAGCTGGGAGGCCTCAAAACTTGCAGAATTCTAGGCAAGGAAGAGATAGACAATTCCGGCGCTCACATCTGCGGCTTCGTCAAGCCTACGTGCGGCAGCCACAGCCTCACGGTGGCACAAGTCTCCAAGCCTTGGCTGCAGAAGCTTCGGCTGAGTACACAACCTGCCTGGGACCTTTCCAAGAGATGCAGCTGAGGCACCTTTTATTTGGCTCCCAACTCGGCAGCTCGCGGAAGAGGAGGGAAAGAGATTAGCACCACCAAGCAGACGACCCTCAGCAAAAAGGCTCGCTCTCTTACATGCCTGAAGCCGAAACGCATGCTCGCACCTCATTTTTCGGTAAGTGACGCCATGGCAGGCATAAGCGGAGCAGCTGCGACGGCCGCAAGCAGTGTCACCCAATCTGGAACAGGCTTGGGCAGCGGAGCACCTTGCATCTGGTGCCGTCCCATGCCGAACACAATCCACGTGACTCTTAGCTCTACTCCGTCGAATTTGCTGGACGACAAAGACGGAAAAAAAAATCCTTGTGCACGCAAGCAGCCTGTCACGCAGTCAACGGTAGTACCAACCTGTTCAGTGACTCAGCCCAGAAGAAAGATTTAGCTCAAGCTTGATTTGTTCTTTTCTTCCACTGCTGGGGAGTCGGCGAGTTGATCCATTCCAGGACAGCAAACGTTGTAGTTGCCGTGGGAACCAGTGGCTCTGTGGTGTCCTCCGATTCTGGTAAGCTCCCATCTTCCTGCACTACAGTTTGCATTCCTACCGAGGCCTTCGTGATTCGTGCGCAGGTAGTTGAACACTGCGGAGTCGCGCAAGCCAGCGAGGACCCAGCTTGGCGCACCAACCTGAACAAATTGAAACCGGAGCTTATCCTTGACACAAATCACCGCTCCACCGCCTCCACCGGGACATCTTCCAGGCCATGCATGTTCGGGTGAAGAGCCTCAGCAAGACAGTTCCTTCCCGGTCCACCTTGATGGTTTAGGTGATTCATTTGCACACATTTCGCCGGCAAGGGAACACTTGCATTGCATGCAAAAGCATGCAATGCAAGTGATTGAGACGACCTCCTACTTCTGCCAACTGCCGAAAAAGTGCGTTCCATACCAAGGCATGGAGAATCATCGCGGTCATGACCACGGGGACAATGACCTCACCGAAGCTGTGGTTACATACTGCCTGTGGCTCGTCGGTTAGAGCGCTACTAGCTAACTGATACTAACTGCGGCGACCTGCTCTGCTGCGCTAGACTAGACTGAGCAAACACGCTACCATAGGCGTCTGCAAGTCCTGCTGCGTACTACTTCTCGCTATTGCTATCACTTCTCCTTGCATCCGTCGTCTACTTGCCCGCTTCCCTGCAGATCCAAGTGGCGAAGCCGGACCAGCCCAGCAAGGTCAGGGTCGGGTAGGCAAGGAGCCTCGGAAGCCGAAACTCTGAATGCCAGAGATGCGCACCTGCGTGTCAGCACGACTGGTTTCCTGGGGAGGTGCATGACACCAGCGCTCATCTTCGCGAAACCATCCCATGGGAAGCACGTACCTACGGGGTCACATGGCATGCAATGGCAGAAATGAAAGTTAAGATGCAGGCCCCCGGATGCTGGAAACTCTACATGAGCATGGATTGCACCTCTCCAGGGGTCCATGTCCAAGATTGGGTCGCGTCCAGGTTCAATAGTAAGGCTCATGTCTTCCTCGACTGTCTCCTGTGTCCGGGATATTGAGTAAGGCTTCGCTTGGAGGGATCTTCCGAAATTCCCTACTGTCGAAGAAACCACAAGGTCAAGAACAAAACGACAAGAGGTCATCTCCCTGTGCCTGTACCCTCATCTTCGCTTACAACGTTTCTGTAGCTCGTTCATCCCAATTTTTGCTTTTCTGTCTGTCCAAGATATCCAAGTCAGTCTGGACTCGTCCAACCCATGTGTCATGAGCCCCGCGCTGCCACTCGTACCATCCCACCACCACCGCCACCACAATACGGACAAGAGGTGTTGCTATGGTGCGCTTTGCGCAATTTGCGTTTTACGTCGTTGCTGTTGTCGGTAATGTGCTCTGCTTGCTCTTTGCGGTGGGTGAAGGGGGGGCTTTAATGACGTTCTGCTTCACAATCAACACATCTGAAGCACACGACAACAACCTTCAAGTCTGAACCCCCCTAACCTTCACCGAACAAGGTGAAGCCGAGAACCCAAAATCAAACCGTTCTTTAGGCATGGGGGAGAGCCGGGGAGAGCAATGATCCAGAGCAGGGCTTTCTGACTTTTTTCGCCGTCCACTCCGCACCCGCACCCGGTCCACGGCAACGTTTTTTTGTGAACGCTCCCCCGCAGGAAGGAAAAACTAAACAAGAACCCAACCCCCGTTCATTCCGAGAAAGTACAGAATAAGAAACAAAGGATTCCCGTCTCTCAGAACCCCAGCCTTACAAGAGCTTAAACTGTTGAACTTGTGCCTTGAGGGTTGGCGCCTTAGCTTTAGTGATTTAGTGTGCTCAATAATTTGGCATCAACTTGCCTTTGACAAGGTTGCAAGCAGTGTGTCTTCCCAAACAAACGTAATAAGAACCTACGGTGATGTTTCCATTTCCAATTTTAGAACTTAAAGGCATTCGCAAGCCAAAATTGCAACACTTTGTTCAATGTCGTTACAGACTGAAAGGATACAGCCTGTGGACGGTTTACCTGGTTGCGCACAAGCTAACGTATCGGATTCAACAACTTGATGCTCCACTTTCACTTTCGTTCAACCAATCCAAAAAATGCCCAAAATTTAGGCAAGGGGGTCTTGCCGGGACCCAGACTTGCCAAAAATACAGTTTAAAACAAAGGGCTGCAACTTAGCGCGCAGAAGCAGCATTTTCGAGCAGTGCACGGAGGTTCTGCGCGTGTCCGCGCTGGCGGCTGTCTCAGCAGCTGCTACGACTGTTACGACTTTCTGACGGGTTAGAAGGAGTGGAGATTGTTGCAGAAACCCCTGAAGAACTAGCAGCCACAGGATTGGTTGAGGTCCCGATGATGCTCCACATGGCCATCGCCGCGGAAAGTGGACAAGTTGAGAGTGGATCGGACAGCCCGAACCTTGTGATGAAAGGTTGAGCTTCTCAATGCACCTCTACAGACTCTACACGAATTGCAGCACTGCCCAACTGCAGTCGGGAGGCGGCGTCGACTTTGTTCAGTCCTGAGTCTTCTCACGACACGACAGAGAGACGTGCACCCAACACGGCTCATGAGATCGACCAAGGGGCCCAAATGCTGGAAGTAGCGATGGTACACATATTCGCAAAAGGACCTGCAGATACGCATGCAGGATACCCGAACAAGGCAGTCTGAAGTTCTCTGAGAATCTTGCATGATGATGTACAGCGCAGCAAGGCCAGCCACAGCTTGACCAGCAACACCCAAGGGCCCCATGCTCCCCAGCAAAGAGCTGGTGGTGGTTACCTGTGCCACTGCCAGCAACAGCACCTTCCGACTCAACGGAGCAGTTCGCCTCCTCGATGCCAACTGGCAGGGCCGGCCGGCTGGGCAAAGCTTGCACAGGGCGTTCTGCTCCTGTCACTGATGACCTGCAGCCAACAAGGCCCGGAGGGGCCGCTAACGGACTGAAAGGGTGAGCATTACGCAGAACAAGACGGGCTCGAGGTGCCGTGTCGTCTGCTGAAGGCCCATGCTTGCAGCGCGTCCAAGACCGGTGAAAGCGAAGCCAGGAAGTGAGTTGGCAGTGACATAGGCCGCCACCTAAAACTCAAAGTGTGGCATAGCTGCACAGCTGACCATGAGTTACACTTCTTGCTTAACGAAAGTAACGAAAATTCGATAAAGCTGATCACCGGGATTGAGAGGTTTCTCGAGGTAGCGATGCCGAGTTTCCAATTCTGGTCCTAAGTCAACCTGTACCGGTCCAAGGTTCCCCAGCACCCAGGACGAGGACGATGCGCGAAGAGTTCCTGCCACAGACAGCTGCTGAACTTACGGCCGGCAGCAGCGCGGCTGGAATGCACTGTGAATCGCTCGGCTATGAGCATGTGGTGGCTTGGATCTGATGCTTCGGGATCAGGTGCATCCAGGTGCCTCCTGCCGCGAGCCATGGCCGAGGATTGGTACAGGGGCTGAGCCGTTGGACTACTGTCGTGCAGAAATGCTGGCGGAACACAGGTACCTGCAACTGTCAACACTTGTTCCTGGATGATCTTCCGAAAGTCTCCGTGACGGGTTGGGCTCAGGACCGCACACCTAAGAAGAAGCAAGTTCCGATCTGCCCCTGGATAATGTCTGCGGGCCTTCATCGAATGCATTGTTTGCTCACCTCCTCTTACTACGTACCCACTTCGCCTGACTCCACCTTTGAAGAGAACCGGTTGGTCGATGATCTCTGTGAGGCGCTTGTAGCCAGCTGGTTTTGCCTCAAGCAGTTCTCCAGCATAACATATACACACATAATATCCACAGACTGTTCGCGGAGCAGCACTGCGAATCCCAAGCTTAAGGTACATCCGGCGGAGACTCGGACCGTCGTCTTGACACGCGCACAGTGACTGAACATCTGTTCGTTAGCGCAAGTGAAACAAACTCTCTGTAGCATTCTGTGGCATTCTGATGCCCAGCCCAGCTGGCTCAAGCTGCGCTGAGAGCACCGGGCTTGCGGCGCACGGAACAGCCTGAAACAGACGAGGCTCGCCGACCGGCCCCGGCCCTGTCTTTGGCCGTGGTTCCTGGAGGAGGCACTCGAGACAGGAGTAGCCTGAGCTCCGGTGGAAAGAAGCCTCTGCTCTGTGCCAGCTGTGCTGCAGTCATTCCATGTGTATCTCGCAGCGACAGGATGGAGGGGCGAGATCGGATGAGCAAATGGCAGAGCTCCAAGAGCCCACCGTCCTTGCCTTGGGACTTTGTGCCGGCGCCGGCGCATGCATGATGCAATGCGGTGCGGCCAAGGCTGCACACCACCTGCGGGTCTCCACCCGCTTTGAGCAGGACTGCAGTTGTTGCTAAGTTTCCTTGGCGGCAGGCCAGGTGTAACGGTGATAAGAGGCCTCGCCCAGCTCGCAAGTTTGGACCTGAAGGGAGCCGTTCAGGACGGCCATACCGATTTCGGAGGCCAGCATTTCCACAAGTCGCTGAGAGAAGGAGCTCTACAATCTCGGACCTGCCCATTAGAGAAGCCTGGTGTAGCGGCGTGAGATGGTCAATGTTGGTGGAGTATGCTTGTCGACCGTCTTCTTCAAGAAGCATTGCACAAATGCTCCTGTGGTTTGCAGCTACAGCCCACCAAAGAGGTGTCTGAAGGCGGACATCCTTTGCACAGACCCTCGCCCTTGCCTGCAGAAGGAGTCTACAAATTGCCTGAGATCCAGAGCCAGCGGCGAAATGCAAAGGCGATCCACCACTCAATTCGTCCCGCACCTCTACATCAGCACCCTCTCGCATCAATTCTTCCACGGCGCCTGTGTGATGTGTGAACTCGATGTCGCCCTGGAAACTGCTGCTCAGCGATGCATAGTATGCGTCCACGCAAAGGTCGAGAACTGGATAAATCGAACTCTTGAGGCGGCTCCACACCGGCTCACCCTGAGGCCCTTTGCCCAAGTCGTAGCCACTCAGCGGCCCCAAGGGATCGTAGCTGGGCCGTGCAAGGGGCTCAAAGACCGGAAGCCGTCTCGCCAGTCCCGCGGGACCCGCTCCCGTACCACTCATCACAACCTCCGCATGCCCGTCTCCCCAAAGGCCCTAAACTCTAACGCCTATCCTTCGAATTGGAGCTCTGAGGTTTGCTGAGCAAATTTAAGACCTGCTTGAGCAATAGAAGGGTTTGGTTTGCAGCTTCTTGTCTTGTCTTCGGCAAATCACAACATGCAGCAAGCACACAGTATTGCCTGCTTTTTGGCATTCTGTCGGCTGCACTGCACGAGCTGCCTCCCCAGAAGTGCATTAGGTGAATCATGCTCTCACAGCAATAACATGGCTTGCGCGAAGGATGTCAAGACTTCCAGGAAGAAAAACTCATAGACCAGTGGTGTCTCTTGGTGTTTTGAGGCCAAGGCCCACTCAACACGACACAGCAGGATTTGCTGCCCTTTGAACACGACGTTGAAATTTGCGAAGATGGCTGTACACGGTTCTCTGCAATCCTGGTCTAGTCACGTTCGTGATGTATACCAGGTCACGGCGTGCAGTGTCGGATTCCCCGCTGCACAGACCTCCTTGCAGAGGTTTGTGCAGATGCTGTAACATTCCACTCCAATTAACCATAGAATTAACCGTAGAAGCGATGCCTCAGTGCTTGCTCGACAATGCAAATCCCGATGTTGAAGACATTAAGCATGGAGATTCCCTTGCTAGTCATCCGCTACACCAGAGCAATCGCTCTCGTCGGCTCCATCTTTGGCAGCCTTCGCTGCTTTCTCTGCTTCGCGGGCCTCGGAGGCAAGCATCAAGAAGCAGAAGCAGCCTTTTCGACTGCTTCGAAGGACTGCGGAAGCATCGGCTTGCTGCCAAGCATCCTTCAGTGTCTTTCGTATCCTTCCGGCGGGCTCGGGTGAGGTCGGTAGTCGTCTGGTAAGGTGAGGACAACATCTTCCCCATTAGATGAACTGAGACTGCCAATTGGTCGTACGATTATTGTTTATCCGTCTCCTCACTTTCAACTCTTGACTGCTGGGTTGCACTGGGTGTTGCGATTCAGACGAAAATTCTGGCGAACTTCGTCTTGTTTTGAGGGTCAGCTGCTGTCTGGCACATGGGCATGCTTGCAAGTTCGAACCCTTACAAACCGAATCGTGAGTTCTCGTCATAGATGTGAAATCACTGTCACCAGCGTTTGGCAGATTAACCGAGTGCCGGATCAAAAAACAACCAGAATCAAAAAAAAAACTAAGCCCCCAAGAAGAAATGAGGTCCCGCTTCCGGAATCAAAAAAGAGGCTCCGCACGTCCTATCATTTACACCGGATTCTGCTTATCGGGTCCCTGTGTCCTATTTTGCACAGGATGTTCGCGGTTCGCATTTGCCGCTGTGGCGCGGGCAATTATGTCTGAATCCCGCCAGTACTTGGGGAAGGCATTCGAGGCGAATATTTTTTCCCCTCTCGCATTGCTGAGGAACTATGCCCACTAGTGAGGTTGTCTTGAGCTTTGCTTCAGAAGGGGCCTCATGATGTAGATCAGGCTCTCAACTTGCCCAGCCCTCAAATGGGACCCGAGGTCAAGAGCCAGCGATCTCTACCACGAGGAATTACGCTCTCACAACTCGGACAGGCCAGGCGAGGTTCATGGTGCGAGGTCGACGTGATACAGGAAAGACAGACCATAGGCAGAAAGCAAGCCCAGAACCCCATCTAAGAACCATGAACCACCCGGTATCTCGATGGTCTGCCTGTTAGCAACAGATTTTACTGTTGCGCGTCCCCTCGAGCTTCCCAACAACCAGACACCGAAGAACAACCAAACACAACTCATAACCAGAATTGAAAGCAAGTGACCACAGTCAGGTGAAGCTCTCCAGAGACAGGGAAGGAACTAGGAAGGAAACTAGGTTAAATTAAAGGTTCTTGTTCAGAGATCGCCCATCAACACCTTCGGAAAGCAGTCGTGCATCGGCTACTGGCAGAAGTACTTGCAGAAAGGCATACATCGCGCCCGCAGGGGTCGTGATCAAACAAGGTTCACACCTTCGTTGTCAAGGGTCTCCACTGACCCAGGGCCAGTAAGGCTCACAGTTGGGCCGCATTGGCAATGCCGCAGCTGCCGTGCAGACACACATTGGTTCACCTAAGGGACTTTGGAATCGCCCAGTCGTCTAGCTCACAGTAACAAAGCCAGAGATTTCCCAGGTGTCACTCACTCACGTCGGTAACCCGGAAAATTTTCTCAAGTTCGCTCCCAGTGAAGGCCCACGACTTTGCACTGTATCCAGGCCGTAGCTGACAAGTTGCCGACAAAATCTTGGTCCCTCCAGCCCCTGCTGCCTTACTTGGCGGCCCATTGAAGAATTCCTTACCTCCATCGGTGGTTTCTGATGCCTCTGCAGTCCACTCCTCTCTGCCTTGTTCCAAACAGTGTATGTGTGGTCCATGGCTGCGCAGCGGACGGGTTAGTGGTTGTTAGGGAGGGAAGCAAAGGATAAAACATGATAAAGTAGGGGCTAAAGGGCAGGGGGGAAAGACCAGACCGACAGACAGGACTGGCATGCCAAGTCAGTCATCATCTCAAGCAGGCGTCATCACGCATAGCATCAGAACATGCAATGCAACATGCAACAGTCCAGCAACAAATTCATGAATTCCAGTCCTGCAAAGGAAAAACCAGCAGCTCGCATTTTACACACGGGCTACTCGACACCGCAAAGGGCTTTAGTCCTGGGAGTCAAGAACCTCGATTACATCGTGTGTCTCGTCCGCTTCCCTGGACAAATGTAGGGCCTCAAGGAAAGTTAACTGTCGGAGCCTCTTGGGGCACTCCCCCAAAATGGCCCCGTCTTGCATGTGCATATCTGCAGCAGCAGGTAGTGGGAAACCGAGGTCCTCCAGTTGCACTCTGACTCTAGGTGACGCAAATCTGGCATTGATAGTGGTAAAAGCTACCAACACTACACGCAAGGGTGCAAGCGAGGTATCTGATAGATGCCCAGCATGAAGGGTCCTTCTGGCGTCGAAAACGAACGGGGCTCGAATAGAGACTACAGTGCCCCAGAGGTCTTGATCAAGATGTCTCTTAATGCACGTGCCTACCTTGTCGTGGATCCAAAGGCCCTCTCCCTCAAGTTGGTCATTCAGGCCTACTACCAGTGAGGGACATGGTCCGTTCTTGCAATCTCTGTGAATCCTGCCTGAACAGCCTCGGCGAATCACAAAAGTCGAATACTTGTGGTTTGGACACGCCTCTTTGATGTAGCTAGTTACTGCTCTGACAAAGTGCGGGTGAGAGCTACAAAGGTGAAGAGGTAGGGTAGACGATCGTGGGTTGACGCCACCTACTACGAAAGAGGTCGGGGGTCCACCATCACCACCATCTGTACGACGGAACAACGAACGTGGCAAAGAATCAAAGAGCTCTAATAACTGGGCTTTACTAGGTCCCCCAGGGGTCTCAAGGATTTGCTTAGCTCTAGCTTCGACTGTTTCAGTTCGGTGTTCGCGCGGGGCCTTTGGGATGGGGTGGACTACCGATAAGATAGAGGAAGTATCACTGTTGGGGGAGTCCACAAGTACAACCTCAGTTGCTTCGAGTTGTCCAACGGCAGATTCGGGTGGGTCAGGGTGGCCATGTAGGTTCACCGGTCCAAAGGCAGGCTTCAGAGGGACAGCGAACATGTTGGGCCCCAGTCTACTCCCGGATCCTGCTACTTCTGGCTGGTTGAAGCAAAATCTCGAAGACTGGTATGTGCTGTCGCAGGAAGTGCCATGACATGCTTTCACACGTGGCATCGAAACGACACTGCATGTCCATCGCCAAAAATTGAATGAAGGATCGATCTTCTCTTGTGAGGGGTGGAAAGGGCGGAGAACCAGGGGCGGGCGGTGGGTGCAGACGGTGGTAGTCCTGTAGTGTACGCTCCAATGACAAGCAGTAGAGGTGCATTTCAAAAAGGAAAGAGAAGTGCCAACTCCAGGATCTACGCATCGCTCCCAAATAGTACCTAAACTCCACTGCGAATTGATGGGCCATGTGTTCAGGCATTGTTTCAAGCACTCCCAGGAGTTCATCACCAAGCAGAGGTTCAAAGGGAGAGAGGTAAGATGCAAGCTGAAAATCAAACCCTTCATCCATTGGACAGCGACTCAACTGCAGGGCTCAGGGTCTGTTACGATCAGAAGGCTCCAGGGCTTGCTTGAACAACCGAAAGCTCGGGCTCACACACTACATGTCAGTTTAGCACTCCAGGAGGTTACGCAGCAAAGACCAGGGTCCTACAGGAAAGATGTCACACATGAGGTCCTGTATACATGTCTGCGGTGGTCGCTCTTTTTGAATCTGTTGCCTCAGTACCAGTACCATGCAAAGGGAAGCGTGTGCAATCAAGTGCAGCGTGCAACGATGCCCGAAAGCATAGGAAGGCTCGCCTTCTGAGACTGCGCGCTTCAGGCACTGGGACTCCAGGGTCAAAACAGCAGGACTCATAAACCTAGAAGCATAAGAAAGTTCAGGAGTTCAGTGCCAGTGCAAAGGAAAAGGGCAAGGGCATGCACAGTACGCAAGACATGCATTAAATTCAGGCATGCAAGCAGGGCGTTTGCAAAAGGCTAAGACTCGAAAAAAGCAAAGGATCCACAAAGCTGTTGCCCTCAAGCATGCGATTATTATGTCCTGTGACACTATGGCAAACTATCTGTGCACGGGAATATTGATAGTACGCCCATCTCCCATGTCGATATTCACCTGCGGGGCCGTTTGGGATGCTGCGGTACTTCCACTTCCTCGGGCCAAAGGAATGGCCGTCTGGAGGTGCAGCTGCTGTCTGGCTCCGTGTATGCCGGGCTCGTAGGTAGGAGGAGGTGGCATGCCCGCCGCTGGTGCCGCTGCCTGAACGTTCACTGGGACAGGCCTCTCGCAGTAATCACGAATGATCCTCACCTGCTCCACCGTGTCCCCGAGAACATTGGCAATCTGCCACAGGTTGTCCTTCATAGTGCCCTGCTCGCCCTGAACAAAGTGTAGGGCTGCCAGCAACTCTTGGCCCATGTCGTAGGTCTGCTTGCTGAGATCGCTCAGGGTTTTGGACAGCGCAGTATGCGACTCATAGTCGCAATTTGTCACCTTGTTGATACAGGACTTGATCCCCTGCTCCAAATTGTCGTGTTTCGCGCCTATCAGCACCTGGGTGTCTGCATGGAAGGTTTTCGCTGCGCCACCCATTACAGAGATGCTCTTGAGGGCCTCTTTAAGGTACGCCTCCGTCGCCTTGGCATGTATATCCAGGTTGGACGAGAGGGTACACACTCTGGCGTTCACAGCCCCGAGCACTGTCTCCATCGCCGATATGCGACCCGAAAGATCTTTCAGGTCTTTGTCGCTCGAAGAGAGGAACTTCATGATCGTGGTGACATCCTTGCGGAGGTTGTCCATCTCCTTCTTCATCTCCTGGCTGGTTCCCCCATCTGCCCCCGATTTGAGCAGCTTGTGGACCGCCTGGATTTCTTGCATGAGGGCCTGGGGTGTCACTGCCGGGGCAGGAGCTGGATCAACACCTGCAGCCTTGGCTTTACTGTCAGTGGCTCCAGTTCCATCGGGCTTTTTGTCAGCTCCACCGGCATTCGTTCCAGGTCCAGTTTGCGTCTTGGCAGGTGGGTTTGTCGATGTCCCTGTAGTTTTCGGCGGGACTTGGTCGTCCACCACTGTGCTCTTATCTGGCTTGGCAGGGGTCTCAAGGATCCCCTGCTTGTCATCTTTCGGTGTTTCCTCCATGGCTCTCTTCGGGCCATCGGAGGCTTCCGCGCTGGGTGTATCGACATTCTTAGGTGCACCTTTGGGTTTGTCTGGCCCATTCCACCATGCTGTAATATGTCTTACCACTGCCACCACCAGCAGGGTCAGTAAGACAGTGAAAACCTGCATCAAAATCTGCTGATCCAGGAGACCCCACACTGCATAGCCTTGCTCCACGTTCCCCGGGAGAGGTGGCGGCGACGCCTGAACATCCATGGCTGGGGCCATGGCAAAATGCGCAGGGGGTGAAAACCTAGACTTGCTGATGCAGTTCGGCCAGAATGCTACCAGAGAGAGCAATAAGTTGGCCGTCCTGCCCCCCTCCCCCCCTCTCCTTCCTACAGAAAGCGGTAATTACAGCGAACAGGCAGAGAGAGAAACATGCCGAATGCCGAAGAGGGAAGGTGGAGCCTAAAAGCATCCAAAGCCAAACACCCTCCACAAAGCCCTACAGAGTAACTGGCAAACTCTCAAAGTACTTGGCTTCGGAGAAGTCGTTCCTTCTGATCAAGAACTTGTAGGTTCCGGGGAAGGGGCCGTGGGTAGTGGGCAGATGGTTTTCGAGCCACGTTGGTGTCTGTTTCGGATGTAGGTAGCAGAATGACAGAAGGTCGACCTCAACTTCGCACCTGTCAAGGCATTGGGTTTGGGATAGGGAGGCTAAAGGAATTTGGTGTGCAAAGATATGGGCTGCAAAAGCCTGCGCAGGAAGGAAACACGCTGCTCTGTTATCCTGCAGTTCCGGGAACCACTTCCAAAAGGCATGAACCGATTCCCAAAAGCAGAGGCGTCTGGACGTACAGTCCAGAGCAGGGTAGCGGACCTGCAGATGGACCGGCTGCTTCGAGACCCGTTTAGGGGGGATGATGGTGAAGCAGCATCCCTCATCCAGCAGTCGACCCCATAGGGACCACTGTGTAGCTCTCGGGGTTCCTCGTTGTACATGCTGCAATTCTCTGCTGTAGGGCGTGTCAGGAAAAACTCGCGCAGGGCGGAGGACTGCGAGATTCTTTCCTATCAGCAGCAGCTGGCGGTCGTAAAGGTAGTTAGGCGGAAGGCGATCAACCTCTGAAGCCCCATACCCCCACTTTTGCAGCCACCTGGGGAGCAGTCTAGACCAGGCTACCCTGTCCTGTGCCAGACTCTCAACGTCAGGGAAGGGCGATTCATCCCTGACTTGCTGCCAAAAGAGCTGAAGTCTCCTTGGTATAAAGAACAGTAGGTCTGACGCTGCTGTTCTGCCTGTTAGAACTCGCCACGAGGAGCAGTTTCGGAGGACTGCACCAAGAGGCATAACCGGCTGTCGTCGCAAGACATGGCCCCAAAAGCTCCATAGGCGACTGAGCCAGAGTTCTCCCCATCTCGTTGATTTATGAACTTCGCATAGGACCTTAACGGCCCTCCTTCTTGCAATCGTGTTAATGACGAAACCTTGAAGAGGGTCACTTTGCAACTTCAACAATGACAGAAGCAAGGTGTGCTTAAAGGATTCCAAGCTACGAAGGGATTTCCGCGAGGGAAAAATAGTGGGAGAACACCAGGTCCATTTGGATGTGATGTATGTCTGAAAGAGCAACAACTTCTCATGAACAGGTGTGTCCGGGTGGTCGAAAAGTCTCCGAAGGCCAAAGAAAGCCGAAGACAGCTTTGCCAAAGATACCCCTAGTTGACCGAGCGGAGTCGCTTTGTAGCTAAGAGGAACGCCCAGGTAAAGCAGGTGGCTGACCCCTTGCAAGGGGGTGCATGATTTGCGCCCCCACACTCCCGGAGTGGTGCCATCCTCGTTGTCAAGGACCGAGCACTTAGCCAAATTCAGCTTCAACCCTATGGACTCGAGTGTAAGTTGGAGGGCATGCAGCTTCGATTGCATCTCTTTCTCTGTTGCCGCAAAAAGCAAAATGTCATCGGCAAAAAGCAAGGCATGAGGCAACTGAAACTTCAGAAAAGCTGGATGCTGAGATGCGCGCCAACGTTCAATGAGCCCTGTGCAAAAGTAGTCCAAGACCCGAGAAAAGAGGTCTGCACTGAAGGAGGTCCCTTGCAGCACCCCCCTCTGAAGGTCCTGGGTCCAGATGTGCGAACCACGAGGAATTAAGGCATGTCACAAGTCGTTCCCAACTACTAGACAAGCACTACACCCCGTTAAAGGCAGAAACAACCAATGTGACATACATTTGAGGCTACACCAAGTAGGCTCCACAAGTAGACACTCCACTATTCAAGAGCATCCCAGTGACAAAGCACAGCTTTCACAGTCCACTCAGCAAAATGCTGCACATGCAGTCATAATTACTAATTACCTTTTCTAATAGGCGAGTATCTGGGGGGAAAGCATTTCGGCAATGTCCCGCTTTTCTCTCGTTTTCCTGGTCTCTTGGTGGTCTCCTGGCTTTGGTCTTTGTCGTCACAGTCGTTGCGGTCGTCTTTGTAAATATTGTTCTTGTTCTCCAAGTGTTCATGTTCTTTTTATTTTTATTGAGTATTATTCACACTAATAACAAAAGTTACTATTCATGAACTGTGAGAGTAATCATTCAAACAAGACTACTAATACTAACAAACAATTAATACTACTACGCAGGGGCGATAGTTCGATCCAGTAGCTTGAACATGCTGGAACACCACAAGTCAGCCTGGGGGCCTCCTCTGCAATCAAAAAACATTGTACTTGTAAACCGGGTAGCAATTCCTCCGCTAGCCTGCATAGGGTAAACGAGACCCGAAAGAACTCTGCTACTCTGCAAGAGTCTGTGTTCTACTGCAGACCGAAACTTTCGGCCCGGCGATGTAATAAACTTAGCAGTACCCGTAAGTGTAGTAGGTGTAGTCATGATGGTAAGATCAATAAGAATAAGAATAGCAATAGCTGTACAGTAGTGATAACAGTAATCATAATACTAATCGGAAAGAGAGAATTGTAATGGTAGCAACAGTAGTTCTCATTTTGATGAATAGCTAAGCATATTAACGGTAATGACAATCAGGACAGGAGGCAGTGGAGCGTAAGTTTTGCTCGGTCGTGTAACCTCCTGTTCACCTTTCTTTTTCATCCCGATTAAAAGATTTGTTGATCCTGTTCGAGCTTTTGATCCGCATTCCGACCAACCCATGCAAGACATTGGAGACAACCCACCATCAACGGAAAGACAAGGCCATTCAAAACTGTGCCTTATTTATGTGGCATCTCACTCCCACACCCTCACCAACGCAACGGACCCGCTGGTCGTGGGGGTTGGGCTTTGCGCAAGGAGGCCCACAGCGATCACAGTCACAGCCTCTACATGTCTCTGTCTCTCTCAACTCTATGTGGCAGCCCGGTCTTGTCGATGCGCATCCTTGGGTCGTGGATACACTAGCCGCATCAAACTGCACCACGAAAGCCTGTAAACGGCAGGAAGGGGACAGCTTCTGCGCCAAGTAGCATCTTGACAAAGCCGTCGAAGTCAACGACGTCGTCTGGCTGATTCTCGCCGATGTCGCGAGAGATTCGCTTGAAGTCTTTGGCCGTGAGGGGGCCTTGGCTGATGAATCACTTGGAGGCCGTCCGGTTCATCGTCTCGCAACTTGGAAATCGCTGCTTCATGTAGCCCACGAGAGACGCAATTCCAACTTTGGTGAGCTCGAGACCTATCAGGCGACCTTCTCGCAGATCTCGTAAAGACACCTTCCAAGGTGTCGGAACATGGCATATGTATAACTTAATTATGGCATAATAGAACTTATATAACTGTAAATCAGCCTCGTTCCGAAATGTTGTTTTGACATGCCTCTTGCCGACCCTCTCCGAAATGACGTGGCAAACACCGCAACCGGAAGACGATCGCACGATTACCAATGCAACAGTTGCAATAGGTGGAGCAAGTCTGCTCAAGACAAACCACTGCAACCGATACGGATCACATTATGAAAAAACGCGGCGCTGGCAGCATGTGCTGCAGGTCTGCTCAATACCCTGGCCTTCCCATCGCCAGATTTGTCATAGTTCTGATATGCTGCCTGGGCCACTCCACGGCCCAGAGCCTACGTAACAGAAACAACCTGTCCTATCCATCGCTTCTTGCTTCCAAGAGTGGGGCTTTCAGCATCTTTTCGCTTAAGCCTTTCTTCCTCTCAAAGGTTGCCGCCAGCAACTCCGTGAATCGAACGTCCTCCAGTGCGTCAGGAATTTATCCCTACTTGGGAGGGGTAGGGGGAGGGAGAGGGAGGGAGAGAGAGACAGAGAGGGAGAGAGAGAGACAGACAGAGAGAGACCGGAAAACAAGCATCACTGGCGACATAACGCACAGCATCCTCCTTTGGGGCGTCGTCTATGTCCTCAAAGCCACACGCCTAGCAAGCAACAAGACACAAGTTGGAGCTGGCGACGGCTGGCTCACAGCACCGACCGGTTGTGCTACAGGCTCACCAGCGGCGCCTCACAAATCGTAGCCCATGGCACCTACAACAAGCCAAAGAGAGTGACACGTGCATACTGTTTGGCAAAGCCGAATACAGTACGTGTCACGGTTTCAATCTTTCATGGGCTTGTCGGGGTGTGTCACGATTCACTGAAACGAACCCGCAGCTATCACAAGTCACAGAGGCTGGCACCTGCCCCCGGCACTCATTGTCCAGAGTCAGGAAGAACTCCCGTGCAGCATTGTTCTCGTTCTCGGGCAGCATGTTTGCCTCATTACGTTGCTGTGACAACTGTGAACCAGGCACGTGCAGAGGCCGAGGTGAAAACGATGACCCGCAAAGCTGACTGCTTCCACTTGTTGAATCCCCTGAACCTGCCCAGAGCAGATTGAAGGAGGCAACCGTGTCTAATCAAGCTACAGCACCCGCATAGTCTACTTTCAGGCGTCAGTTGGAGCGGCCTCACAACTCTCTCCGCATACCTCCGCACGGGATGCGCTTTCTTTGGCCCTCCGGTGTGTCTTAGATTCGTTTTTCTACTACTGAACGCTCTGCCCACGAACTCTGGGGATGCTGCCCACTCGGAGGATTTGCGGCCGAACCGTTTGAAGGGTTTGACTGTGGTGTGCCCATCGGAGAGCCCTGCACATCGCCTTAGGGCCATGGATGGCATGGCATCTCGACCCCCCAAAACCCGAGGGCCCGAGAACTCCCAGGCATCGCGGTCTCAGATACTGACCGCCATGGCTTCTGGCATCCTGCATGTTGCAAAAGTAGCAAAAAAAACAAGCTGTAGGCATCATCTGAAATTCCCATGCGTGTCCAATCGAGGTCTGCAAAGTCGTTTACTTGGTGTTTCCGGGTTGAGGGATTTGGTGTGATTTGCTGATGTGTTAGAATGGCTGAGCTTGCAAGCAGTATTCACCCTCCCCTGCCTTGAGGTGCTCCAGGAACCACTTGTGAGATAGGGCGTCCCTCGCACTCATGCGCTTCCTGGGTACAGGAAGTTCGGAAGTCAGGGCCGGTGCCGGCTGTGCCGGCGTACGGCTTGAGGCTTCCCTCCGCGCACTTCAACTCCAGCCCTGCACACCTCTTTCTGCTGCCTGGTCAGCTGCCACTTTTTTGGGCAGCGGTCGCTCGTCACAGGGCTTTGTTGGCTCATCGGACCCGAGCACTCACAGTGTTGCTGTCTTGCGTGGTGGTTGCAAGAATGTACCTCGCATGATCGCTGCACGTTCGGGACAACTTGTGCAGTTGTGCAGAATGAGGCTCGATTGCGCTTAAATTCGTCCGAGCAGCTTGAAAAGCAGCGGGCGAGGTGTGTCCTGTTCTGACGGCAGGTCCATTGAATGAATGCTCAGACAAATGCGCACCATGTCACGGCATGATACCAAGCTGCGGACCTTGGCCTTCAGGTCATAGACGACACACCAGACATCCACTGCCTTTGAAGCTTCCATCGCGAACCTTGCAATAGCGATCCACCAGTCTCGAGGCGATCGGCGGGTCGCAACCGGCAGAGACGCAGACTCTGTGAGAGTTCTGTGAAACTGAGGCCGAGCAGCCGTTTTAAGCAATACAGTCTCCTGTTGCCGCAAACGACTTGCCTTAGCATCGGGACGCTGCTACGCTTGCATTGCCCACAACACGAAAGAAGCCCAGGTGCAGGTCCCCTCTGTTTCGCATCACCACCAGTGGGGGCAGCTCTTTTGGATCGGCACGCCCAGCATGCAGATCCTCCAGGGTCACCGATTCAGAAATCTTCAAAACCCGCAAGCAAGTCCATTGAGGGCCAACGTGCATGGAGACCGCACGTTTCTGAAACTGACGAGAAGAGCGAGGCCAGGTGCTACAATGATAATCTCCGGGCCCTCGAGTGCCCGCTTCGGTCCTGCAGCAGCTTGAGGACGGGCACCCCCTGGTGCGAGCCATGCGAGAAGCGAGGACCTGCCCGACAACTCGACGCACAGATGCCAGTTACACACGGCCCCCAGCTGCAGAGCTTGAGAATTGCAGGCACGAAGCCTCCTACCCACATAGTACTCCACATTTCTATCGATGTCCGATGGTTGTTGGGTTCTTGTGCGGAAGGCGATGCGGTTGGACTACAATGTCAGACTGGAAGCTTCAGGAGAAGTTCGCCCAGCCTATGTCTTTGTGGCAGAACTTCAAGCGACTGACCTCGACCAAACCTCAGTTCTTCAAGTCTTTCGTGCTGGCTGACGCGGGACTGCGTAAGCATTGACTTGAGCAAGTTCTGGCCCCTGCACAAAACTCTGCATCAGCACTGCATGTTGCAACATGACTTTTCTGCGCGAACAAAACTCCCAACCTCCAGCCCGAAACTCTGAAGATGCCTGTCTCACTTCGCGGTCTGCCCAGCCCCGACTGAAGTTTTTGAGCCTCTTTGCCTTTCTGGGCACGGAGAAGGGTCGGGGAAGAGTGCGTGGGCCACGGGCATACAAATTCTTGTGTCCAGCCAAGTGGCACATGTTCCTTAGGTAGTGACGTTCCCAAGCCCATGCCAGTGATCCGTGACGCTGTTTTTGCGGACCAGTACTGCCACCAAGGCTCCGAGCTTGCTTGCGGTATGCTTGCGGGTCCCGTGCCGGATCATGAAACTTGGAGCCGCTCGCCTCGGTGGAGCAGGAAGATGCAGGAACCCTCGCTGCACGATTTCTTTTCTGGCAAAGCACCAGATCCTTGACCAATTCCATCTGGTACTCGCTCAGGCGAGAATCGTCCTTGGTGGGGGTCAGCTTTACACCGGAACAAAGCTTTCGCGAGCCTGTCGCAGCAAATGAAATCCCCAGAACTAAATCTGACCAGCATCCAAGCCCATTAGAGATCGCACAGCAGGCATTTGGTGGGGCAGCTTGGCCGCTTTGGCTGCTGCCTCTTCGTCTTCATCCTGGGTCAGACCCTTGTCACGGCTCAAGGCTTCTTCTGAGCACAAGAATACGCAGCCTCAGAATTCCTGTCATCCTCTTTGCCTGAGCAGAGCTTCGTGGCGGTAAACGGGCAGAGCGGGTTGAGCACAAGAGCTGCTGTGCACCGACCTGTCTCTTCGAGTAGGCGTGGCAAGTCTGACAGATTGCCCTGTTGAGGCTCTGAACCTGAAACAGCACCAGGGTCTGCAGCTGCTCCGTAAACAAACAGCACCAGGCGCCTTCGCTGACAGCCGGGCCAGACAAACTCGAAGCCTCCCAGCGCAGAATTTCTCCATTTTGCCCAGGCATGCCCATGCCCAGTGCCTGCTTGGCGAATGCAGTTTCGTCACCTGGAAATTGCATACATGTTGCATCCATGCTTTTGCGTTTAGCGCCCCTACCACCTCCACTCGTTGCCAATGCTGATCAGTGTTACGAGTTTCAGCGTTTCAGTGCTAACAAAGTCGGGCAGGGATTGGACCTAATGTCACGTTCCTCGTAACTGCCACTCTCAACAAGGCAGTGGCTGAAACGAAGCCATCTAGGGGACTGTCGGTACGCGACCCCGGCAAAAATGGTCACCATTGGGGGGGAAGGATGGCTCCAATTCGAGCGCCGGATGCAACGACTGCAGTCGTGCACTCGGCCCTGCCTTGTGCTCGGCTGCCATCACCTTGGGCACCGACCCACGGCCCCGCCACAGCCACACACGCAGAAAGGATTTCTTACAAATGCACGGAGAGCACAAAGCCACGCAGGACAGTACCAAGGCACCCATCGTCTTGCGTGGCATGGCCTTGACGGCCACACTCGGTGATGGAGGCATCACCTTGCCAGTCCACGACAGCTCCAGATGTAGCAGCACGCCAGCAGCAAAAAATTGACTGCTGTTTCCTGAGACCCTTGCAGCCTTCGACATTCCAGCATCTGGAGGGGACGTGGCTGTGCCTCGTTCTCACAGCCCCAAGACCCTGCAAGGACCCTCACATGCATGGGGCTCCCATGCATCCGCGGCACTTGGAAGAACCGCCAGAGACTTGGCCTTCGCAAATGCCGCTGTGCTAGTCGCGGCACCTGCATGGGAAAGGTTCCGTGTCTGCCGAGATCAGCGCGAAATCTTCCCTGCTCCTTTGGTAAAGCCCGCTGGCCTGGTCGAGCTTTGGCCGGCACGATGTGGGCAGGAGGCGGTGTTGCAGGCGGCTTCGGCACGTTCTGCATGCAAAGCCAACTGCAAGCACGAGCAAAAGGTGATCTGAATCTTTGCCTTGACCGGCATCTTCTTGGCAAATCCCACAGACGGTGGATCTGCCGAAGGTGTGGTTGCCGGAGGTTGGCCTTGAACTTGCAGCCACTTCGATTACAATACACAGCACAGCAATTTAACACGGCAGAAACAAGGCACGATGGCACCAGACGACACGGCAGGGATGGAACACATGGCACTTAGATGGCGTTCCGACATGGCCTGACGCAACGCAACCTAACCAACGACAGCCGCCCATGGTGCCTAAGTAGAAGATAGAATACCCTGGCAAGCAGATTCATCAAGAATACTTCTGCAACGAATTTCCAGGAGGTAACCTAACATAGTCTGGTACACCATAACATGCCAGGATGGTGTTGTACACAGACATACTGGAAGATTCTTGCGAACTCTCCCCACATGATACAACAGGAAAGGGACAAGCATCAAAAGATACTAAGTTGAAGCATCCCACGTATTGGCCGAGTCCCATGTGATGCCAGCATATGTTTCTCCAGATTTTGCGCTTCCGGTGTTGTTTAATGCCATGAACCTAGTCATCTAGTCTCCTCTTGCTACGCTGCACGGCATCCGTTGCCCGGCACACAGGTGTCCAGGAGCAAACGCCGTTCCTTGCTGCGGGCCAAGAAGCTCAGTGAGGAAGCCTGACGAATGCTTTTGCTCTGGAGCCGGAACCACTGCAAAGAATTTTGTCACTAAATCTTCAACTCTTCAAGCCGACGCTTTCTGGAGTCTTCCATGATAGGGTCTGGGGATTGCTGGGTTTAGGCAACTGAGGCTTCATTAAAGCCGTAGAGGATACGAAGACTGTAGCAGCACTGTAGAAACCTTGTTGAAGAAGCAGGAAAGGAGTCAGTCATTAGAAGGATAGACGAAGCTGCCACCAGACTATGGAAGAAGATTGCACAAGACGTCGGTGCAGACGGCAGGGACTGGCTGAGTATTGCCTGAACGGAGGCCGGCAAGCGAAGAACAAATCTGGCGAGAAGAGGCGAGCCCAGAGCGTCTTGTGACCGTCCCTTCACGACTTCCCAGAGGTCACGGCTTCAGGGTCTTCTGCGGACCCACTGAGGGGTTCGGGCCCGTGCCTGAGCCTGCGGACGGCGCTTCGGCTTTGGCATTGTCTCCGCTTCCTCCACGTGTCGGCTGAGCAAGAACATCGGTCAACAGACAGCACGTCGCTGAAGCGCAGGCAGGCAGACGTAACTCGCCAACAGCTCAATCGCTTGCTGAGCTTTGCCGCAGAGCCTCTGGAGAAGAAGGCTCTTCCTCCTGCTTACCAGCCATAGCGCAGCCCCAAGGATCCTTAGCTTGGCAGCTCGCGGCAGGATCAGACGAGGGCATCGGGTTGTGAGACGCCCCCTTCCGAAATACAAGCTTGGCGCTAACGAACATGTTAGCCAAAACTAGCTAGGCGGAAAAGTTGCAGTAGCGCCCTTTTGGTCGAAGCGCA